AAGAAATATCCGAGGAGCAGCCTAGCCAAGAATGTCATTATTTACCCCATAGACCGATAATTAAGCCAAATAGCTTATCTACAAAAATCAGACCGGTCTTTGATGCTTCGGCCAAAGAAAAACACAGACCTTCTTTAAATCAGTGTCTTGAAAAGGGGGTTAACCTGATTGAATTGATTCCAGCTATTTTGTTGAGATTTAGACAAAAGGAAATTGGTGTAATCTCCGATATTCGGAAAGCATTTTTGCAAATTGGCCTGCATAAAGCTGACAGGGATTTTCTTCGCTTTCTATGGATAGATAAAACTGGAAAAGAAAGGATTTACCGTCACTGTCGAGTTGTATTTGGAATAAGTAGTAGTCCATTTTTATTGGCAGCTACGCTGGACTATCATTTATCGCAGATGTTAGAAAAATGCTCTTCGGCACGGCTTAATGTTTCAGAAGACACAATTACAAATTTATCCAATAGTTTTTACGTTGATAATTGTGTTACCAGTGTGAGAAATGAGCAGGAACTGAGAACTTTTATAGAAGAGTCAAACATAATAATGAGTGAAGGCAAGTTTGACCTCAGAGGGTGGGAGTATACTGGCCAAATACAGGATGAAAACCTTGCAGCTTCAACTCAGGTGTTGGGAATAAAGTGGAATAAGAGTGACGACACTCTATTTCTGAATAAAGAGAATGGATATGCAGATCAACTCTTCGATAAACCCGTAACTAAAAGAGTGATACTCTCGCAAGCTCAGCAAGTGTTTGACCCTATTGGGTATACCTGTCCGGCAACGCTGACTCCAAAATTGTTATTACAAAAAACGTGGAACCAGTATCTGACATGGGATGCGCCGGTTGATTCTACAATAGAAACGCAATTTCGGAATTGGGTCAAAGAGCTGCCGTATTTAGCAGCTATTAAAATTCCTCGGTGGATACATGCAGGGCCTAGAGAAGCTGAAGAATTTACTTTGCATACATTTTGTGACGCGAGCAAAGATGCATCTTCAGCAGCGATATTTTTAAGAGGTGTCCGGAAAGGACAAGTATTTGTTCATATTTTAGCAGCCAAATCAAGGGGGCAAATTATTATGACCTCGAATGATTGGCACTTTGATTACTTCTCCCAATATTTGAAGACGTTGCGAATGTTCGCATGGATTCGTCGTTTTATTCATAATACAAAGAATAGGGACGATAAACGCGCGGGGGAGTTAACCTTGAAGGAAGTTGACAAAGCCGAAGTATTTGTGCTTAAAGTGATACAGCAAGAGTCATTTACGAACGAAAAAGACAATAGATTATCGGGAATGAACGCTTTTAAGGATGAGCATGGACTAATTCGCTTACAGTCGCGTATTAGTAATAGAAATGACCTAGAGTATTTTCGGTTTCGTATAGTTTTACCGGCAAAACATTTTTTAGTGAATAGGTTGTTATTCCGGGAACATGTTAAGTCGTGTCATATTGGAACTCAAGGACTCACGAGTATCGTGCGCGAACGATATTGGATTTTAGGTGGTCGACGTGCGATAAAGTCAGCCATCATTAAGTGTGTCGTCTGCAAAAGGCATAATGCGAAGCCATTCGGGGCAAGTGCTCCGCCGTTACCAGTAGATCGCGTCCGGGACGCGGTAGCATTCGAAACGACGGGCGTAGATTTTGCGGGACCGCTTTACCTAGCCACCGGAGGAAAAGCATGGATATGTCTTTTTACGTGTGCCATATATCGTGCTGTACATGTCGAACTTTGCACCTCGTTGTCAGTCGCCTGCTTCATGCAGGTTCTTAGACGTTTTATTGCCAGACGTGGTCGTCCGAAGACTATATACAGTGAGTGCCTCCGAAAACGACGCGGAAACGGGAGTGTCTGAAAGCAGAGTACCCGAAACGAAAAAAAAAAAATTGTTACGCGAAGTGGGCGCAGCGTCAAAACTCCTGTGCGATACGCTAACGAGTAGATTTAGTTTTTGCTTAATTATATTTCGAATTTTGTCTGTTATGGTTTTATGTTATTTGCTGTAGTTTTGTTTACTTTTGTGCCAATATTAATATTGTGAGCCATGTTTACTTTTGTAAAATGCCTCAGGTGGGAGGATGTCACAGCCATTTGATAATTATTTTGTTTGTATGCACATATATTATTATGTTGAATGCTGAAGTTACAAAATCTCTTATTAAAATTCAAAGAAAGCTTTAGCTATAAAACCTTTTTAAATCATAACAATCTTTCCACTTGTCGGCAATAATTCTTATATTTTATCGCCATCACTTCAATTTATTTTCTTTATTTTAACGCATAAGTGGTGTAATAAAAATTGATGAGGTTCTTACAGTTGACTAAGAATCTGAGCGCTGAACGGTCGGTATCCGTGGCGTAGTATTTTTTAATTTTGTGTATGTATAGATTGATGCTTATAAGTGATAATTTTTGTTACATCATTTTTTAAAAGCACGCGATATGTTTTGTTGGGAACTGGCAAATATAGATTTTCAATAATTTTGAAGTTTAATTTTGTAATATACGAACCGTGTATTTTATACGCAAATTCGGGTAGAATTGCGTTGGTACACACTTGACAATCAATATCTTAAGGATCTATTTGAAGCACTAAAATGCAAAACAATAAATTTGTATAAATAAGTGTGTACTTGCAATTTCTTTAATACTGGATTCTTGTTTAATTTTGACAGTGAGTTTGTCTCATTTGTTATCAATAAAATTTACTAAAAAATACTGGATTTCTGTGACATAATCAACTAATTCAATCTATTATGTTACATTCTAGTATAATTTTGTAGTTTTCTTGTGATGATCTACAACAGGAAGAACAAAACCAACTGTATCAATACAATCAAAGTAAAACACAACATTACTAATGTTCTTTTATTGTGATGAAAACAAAATGAAAATGCTTCTTAACAAGTATACACAAATTTAAAAGATAGTTGCCGTTTTTCTTATGATAACTAGATATAAATATCATACATTTATAAATTTATAAACACTGTAAACTCTATTTATTATATATATCAGCTAGAAAAATATCACATTAAATACTATTATCGCATATCACCAAGTCCAAATGAACAACTACACCATTTTGAATTTCTTGATTTATTTTTTCAGCAAAAACTTAATCTATTTCAGATATTTGAGCAAGAAAGTTTTGTTTTTGGTCAGCAGCCCAATGTATAAACTATTCTTTGAATAATTTCCCCTAAAAAATAACTATGGTAAGACATTCATAATATACACAATAAATTAATCATCCTATAAAGTAAGATAAACAATCTATAGTTGTGCTATGTAATATTTTCTGCATTGAATCTGCATATATGTAAAGTAAAAATATCCTTTTTTTTCCTTTTCTTCCCTTTGCATGTTCTTATATCTGTTGAACCAAAATACTTGACAACATTCCAGTAGAGTATACAAATAAAAACTTAAAACTTAATATTTAATAGTAACAATAATATACCTGATTATAAAAATGAAATCTATAAAATATTTTAGTTTATTTTACTATATAATTGTAGCTAACCTATATTTACATACCAATATTTGTACTTACTTCAAATTGATTTGCTTCAAGAATTTATATAATAATGAACGACACATATTTTGGAAGATCTGAGCGGTTGTCAATTTCACTTAAAATTTTACCTAAAGTGAGCATTTCATTCTTGAAAAAGAAGCAGTGTACCTACTATCTGTCGTATAGATGTTTTAACTCTTTCATCCTATGTTGCAAGAATATAAGGTCGACCTTCAATATTTTTACGACATTTTACTGCTCCAGTCTGCTTATATTCTTTAATTGTTCTAAATTCTATTCTTGTAAATAGTTGAATTCGCAATACCTAAAATTAGCACATTACTTTAGTAAGTCTTGATTTTAATAATAACTATTCTGTAAAACTAACCTGCTGCCTGTTTTATTTTTACTACCGTGGCTGTTATTTTTATTCCAGAATTATCAATTTTCATGTTTGTACATGTTTATAGTACATTATTTCTCATTTGATGATAAATGATCCAAATCTACTCGGCGTTTTTAAGGTGGAGAAGAATAATTACCACTAGTACTTGGCATTGAATCCATATTGTTATCTTAATAATACTAATATGTCGCTAAATAGTTCTGAAAAGAACTGTTTTTTATATAAATGCAAACGAAAAATCTAAAGATGTAAGAAATAACACAGAAAATACAGAAAATTGTCGATATACATTTTGAATTTTAAAATTTCACAAATGTCATTAGTGTCAATATGTCATAATTTAGTGGAGTAAACTTGCCTGCGCTTCGACCAATTACAAACAAGCATTATGGCGCGGAAAATTTGAATTACTCCTCCTGGTTTAAAAACAGACCATAGAAGAACATCATGGCTGAAAAATCTAAGACAATGGTACGGATAATCGACAACATCACTATTTAGAGCTGCTGTCAATAAATATGGTAGCCAACATTATATCCAACGATCAATAACTGTCATTTAACTAGAAGAAGAAGAAGACGTAATTGTACCTATTATTAGGTATAGGTACGTCTTCTTCCCCATATAGGTATAGGTATAGTACGCCCTCCAAAACATTGAAACAACTAACACGACGTACGAAGATAAGGTCTATACAACAATCATACGACCCGTTGTGATGTATGGAAGCGAAACGTGGACGATAACAAAGGAAAACGAAGAGAGACTATGTGTTTGGGAATGAAAAATCCTAAGGAAGATCTTTGGTCCTGTGCTGGATGAAGCATCAGGACAATATAGGATAAGAACTAACAAAGAGCTCGAAGAACTTTACCCAGACGCCAACAGCATAAAAGAAATCATAAAAGTCCAGAAGACTCCAATGGGCAAGACACCTCAGAAGACATTCTGACGAACGAACAGTAAGACTGGTGTAGAAGGAAGTCCCAACTGAAAGGAGACCACGGGGACGCCCTCGTCTCCGGTGGCGAGATAATATAGCAGGAGACCTAAGCACTATGGAGAATTTGATGGAGATTGCTCAAAACAAAAAACAATGGAGGCATATTGTCGAGTCGGCTAAAACCCACGAAGGGTTGTAACGCCAGGGAGTAAGTAAGGAGTACGTCTTTTCTTCTTCTTTGTCGAAATGTAAGGAATGTAAGGGGCAATACCATTAACAAAATAAAGGAGCTATAATCACAAGAACATAATCATTTTTGTAGTACTTTAATATCAGTAATAGAAAAACTCAAAATTTTTGTTTTTTTTTTCAGATCGATGATACTTAGTAGAAGACAAAATGACGATGATTCACGTGATGGATTTTCGAAGTGGCCTTTTATGACTACGCACACCTGGGGTGAATATCCACAGGGTACTTGGACCCTTGAAGTGAGTAATCTACTTTTAAATATTTACTTTACACTCAAACATTAAACTTTTACTACATAATCGGGGTAAAAAGTACTGCTTCCAAGCAGGTTCTCTTTGATTATCTTCTCACCACTGGTTGTGGAGGAAATGGTGTGTTGTCTTTATGTAGTTAAACTCTTTTACACTCGAAATTAAATCATGGGAAAGAGGAAAGTTTTTTCTAATTTCTTCAGCAACTCTATAAGTACCATGGGCTAAGCATGTCAAATAAATAATTGTGGGATAAAATATTTGTAAACTTTTTATGTCTTCACCATATCTGAAACAGCATCAAACAATAAAAGCAAGAGTTTTTTAAGGTATAGTAGTTAGAAGATAAAAGTCGGACACTTATTTTTGAACAAAAGTACAATTGTTGCAGAATTTGTTTTTATATAGTTGTTTGCAGCTATTAAGTGGCATTTTGGTAATTGTTTATTATTAAGAACCCCGATCAGTAAATGAACCATGTATCGTCCTCCTGAATCCGTCGTTTTATCTATTCAAATGTAAAAATAATTGTTTCCTATTTCGGGTCTATTTTTCTTTGGCGGACAAGTAAACAATATCAACATCGTTTGTTCTTAAATTTCGTCTTAATCCACTCGGAATATTAAATTTACCATAAATCTAAAGAAATCAGTCAAAGGTATTGTTAGATAGCTTTGAGAGCGGTATATGTAGAGGTCATTTGAGCTCGACATAAATATTCATTAAATACATTGTGTTAAATACATTTCATTGTTTCAACGTCGCCGCAAAAGATTGTAGCAACGATTTTTGAACTTTTCCCCCTGCAAGTTTTTTGTTTTGAGTGTCGCAGTTCCGACGGGTTGGTTCATTTGATGTATTTTTGTTGGAGGTGAGCGCTAACATAAAGATAACCATAAGTATTTAAGCCAGTGCTACAGAGTACGCCAAAAAATCAAAGAACTTTGGTCTGGTTAGGATAAAAATAAATATACTAAATCACTATGAAAAATACATTTACCGAGCTTCGTACAAAGATATTTTTATCTTATTAAACATATTTCCTAACATTTTCACGTATAAGGCCATTTCTAGACATATATGAAAAATACGCAATTTTTGAATATGTCACTTAATGTAATATAAAGTAAAAATAAAATAAAATTCACTTAATTATGCTGCAAATGGAGCAGTACGCCTTTTTTACGAATAATTACTAGTTAAAAGGGAATAAGCCACAATTAAAGGTTAAAGTAAGTTTATTGACGGTTCAATTTCCACTTCGGAAAATGTTAATACTTTTTTTTACGAATGTTAAGACATAATTATTCAAGCACAAACTACGAACGTTATTAAAGGGATTTTAATCTATTGTAAATTACCAAAAACAGTTTAATGTATTTTATTCAAATATCGCTTTTCCCCAAGTATATTGACACAACTGCAAAAACTGAAATTTTACAGAAGACGACAAAAACAAAATCCTGTTGCTTTGTTATATAGAGCGGGCCAAAGTTTCAATTTAGTGCTGCTATAAAATTAGTATATTGCCATTATGGGATTCTTCTGCAACTTTTATGAAATTTAAGTTGATTTAATAATAATAACCAGTTTCACAATACCCAATACCATGTAATGTCATTGATTTTACATTTCTGTCAGAATAGGAGTTGGAAATCCAAGTAAAAATGTAAAAAATAAGGTTAACAAACTGTTTATTAGAACAAAAATATCATGAAGCGATTTCCATTTATAAGTAAATACAATGTATATTACAAAAAGAATATTGCCAGAATATGCAGACCTTATTTAAGCTTTTAATCCCTGAGTCATATTACTTATAACAACCATGAATTGAAATATGTTTAATTGGCTAATCACTTTACAAGAATTGGAAAGTTTCTGCGTTCTTGGCTCTTCAGATAATGTTGCCAAATTGAATTTTGGTGTTGTTATTGTTAAAGAACAATCAAATAATATAGTGGTGTAAAACTGAAGAATGTGAAAGTAATAAAGTTCACAATGTATTTGTTAGTGTAATAATAGTATATTAAACGATAAGTGGATATTGATGTCTTTAAAAGACGCGCGATTTTTCGTCGGCGGTCGACACGTAGCCGTCGTGCGCGAAATAGAGAAGTGTTTTAAAGACCAGTTACCCACGAATACTTTACGCTACTTTTTTATTGGTACACTTTGAAATTATGTATTATTACTACAAAAAATTCAAATAAAAGATAATAAGGTAAAATGGTTGAATTTGTGATATACATCAATATACCTTTCGTTATTATGGAAATGAGAAAAACAAAAATAAATTTGCAATCTGTCACATCTGATTAATTGTTATTACTGGTTGTATATGCCTTCCGAGAATGTCGGTAGTATTAATTTGAACAGCATTTCCTCTGATTTAAAAAACGGAAGTATAAATATTTCAAACAATACCAACTTTAGAACACTTACGTGTAGTTATATTTTTTAGACTAAATTCCAATCTTGTCGTAAACAACAGTTGAGTCAATAGCCCTTGGGACGAGATTAATTGCACTTCCACTTCTAAGTCTTAACTGACAAATATGTCGTTATTCTGCCGTAGAAGGTAAATATGCTTGGGGTTATGGCAAAGAATATAGACGCTATATTCTTTATCTATATTCTTTGGTTATGGGTAATAGCGACATATCTTTCCTCTCGTGACGAAATTTGTAACTACAAGTACGTCGATTTACAAATATGCAGTATATACAAAAATGCAGTCTTGATCCTTTTAACACAATTAAGTCATTTCTCAAAATTTTACAGTTGTGCCATTATACTTCTGTAACAGCGATATGAGCATTATTTTTGTGTTTTTATTCATTTTACTTGGATTTTTTTAAAAATATGCAAACAGTTTACTATTGCATCAAATATGCTACATATGCTCTATACATATTTGCCTAAATCTAGTTGTAATATATTAAAGATAATATTATATAGATACTTTTAATTTTAATTTTCTTCTAGGTAAAGTTTAACTCACAAATTCCACAAAGAGGGTACTTAAAAGAATGGTCTCTGATGCTACACGGTACCAAAGAGCCACCCTATACAGAACTACCGGTACTCGACCCTCATTCCAAATTGGCGATTGTCAAGAAAGCGCATGAAAGTAGGAGCAAAATGTAATATGTTAAGCGCTCAGTATTTTTTTAATTTTCAACATGTACTCTGTCCTACAATTTCGAGCTTATCTAAGTCGCAATAAGCATCAATAAAGTTAATATAAATTCAATTTAAAAAAAGTTAGTCGTTTAAAACAAAATATTTTAAATAAAAGACGTCAAATAATAATACGAAATAGTACAGTTTTTCAAACAACTAAGTAAATAACCCTTAATATTAAATGATTATTCAAATGATTAAGCAACAATGAAGGGTATAAGAGTTATCAAGAGAAAATCAATCAATCAATAAAAAATAAAATTAAATCAGTCAGTAAAAGAATAAAATCAATCTGTGAAGAAGAAAAAATAGAAAAATACGGTAGAGCCAACATAAAAAAGAATAAAATTATAAATCATGAACAAATGTGGATAAATAGCTAAAAATGGGAAACTGGATCGATGCAGCCGACTAACAGTCACTATGAGAATTGTTAGAATCCCCTTTTTAACCCTCCATCAGGCGCGCGCCTTAGACTTACGCTATTGGTCGCACGTATAAATGTTATCTAACGTCTGGCGGGCTGTTAGATTTGTTTTTAATAATTTTTATAAAACAAAGTAAGTATTATGTTAAAAAATCTGTTATTACAAAAAAATATAACATAAAACGTATACTAATAAAATGAATCAACTATAATTTTTTGAGATATTTCAATAGTTTAATTATTTTCCTTACAAAATATTTAAATCTCAAACAAATGAACACCATCTCGGACGTGTGTTCGTTACACAATGGCTTTTAAAATCGATCATATTTATTCTTAATAAATCTGTTTTTTCGCATTGGACAGAAACCACATATTGCTCTAGTATTTATATTTTGTGAAATTTCGGTAACGTTGTTTTCCATTCCGACAATTGCTCTAATCTTTTGCCGGAGGAGAATTGTCAAAGAAGCACTTTTCATTATATGCTGTTTTTTTAGCTGATTTGCTAGTGATGTAACTTATGATTATTCTCTGTAAAATCCTTATCTATCTTATCACTGCCATGAAACGTTGCGAGCAAGGACAGTTTTATGCTTCTAAGAGACATATTTTGGAGTACAATTATTTTTTCTATTCCGTAAGCACACAGTGAGAAATCACATTGTGAACAGGCTAATTTTTCACTTGAACGAATTCTTTTAGTATTTCCCTTTTGTTTTTCCACAAGGTGCCCACATAAGTTAATTTGTGAATATGATACAAATCATTGGCAAGTGGAATTGAATTAAAATAATTATCAGTTGTTATTTTCCTCCCTGGTTTGTCTATAGGTTTTATAAGTCTTTTTACGACGCTGGTTACATCATTTAATAATTGGTAAGGTCCAGGAGGTTGCTTTCCACAATAAATTTCCATATTGTGAACGTAAAAGGTCCTTGTATAAGTAAGGGCATAGACTTTTATTCCATACTTCGCTGGTTTGTTATTGACATACTGACTGACGGAAGCAACGTTTTCTAAAAGCTTCCAGCATTTCATTAATGGTAACATATTGAGCAAGACTGTAACTGCGATAATATTTGGAGACAAAACCATCAAAAATACATATCTACTTTCATATTTTATGTATTAGTTTATTTAGTCATCGATTCGGGAATATTCTTAATTATTTGTACATTTTTGTTACTTCCATATTTCAAAGATTTTTTATGTGACAGTTTAGGTTTGTTTAATTTTAATTCTTCTGCTAATACTTACATATGTATATTACTTTAGCCAATATGGTTAAGTTAATTTTAAGTTTACATTATGATATCTTTTATTGTATTTTTTATACGGACTTCAAACTTTATGTAAAGTGGTCAATAAACGTTCTATCTATCTATCTATCTATCTGTTGTTATGGTCGTCGAATCTGATTGCTCCCTAAAGTAAATGGAACTGTTTTTCTGACATTGTAGCTGGAAATGAGTCTGCTGCAGTATTATCTGTTGCTCAGAGTTCATTCGTGTTCAAGAGATTTCCTCTTTTTACACCTGCTAAATAAAACAAACCTATAAACGCCATTATCTCTTCTAAATTAGTAGATAAACAACCTCGAGGACGTGTATATGAGGAACGCAATTCATAAAGTTTCTTGTTTGTAAAAGTAACGATTTAAGTGAGAATACCTACATAGAGGAAAAAATATTTTCCAGCAGTCTCCAATCTCTTCTACACTTTTAGCTTCATCTACTACTCCTGGAAGTTTAGTGACAATATTTGGACGGCGTGTTTTAGTTAAAATAAAGTTGGGTTTATGCTTTACCCACTGGGTGCCATCTTTCCCAATAAACTGAAGCCCAATTTGCGGATTAATTCTACGGCTATTGACAACAGAAACTTCTTCTTCTTCTTCTGTGTCACTGGAGGAGTGTTCAAGATTAGTGTTGTGTAAACTATGCTCCGAAATCTTATCATCAATATACTGATCAGATTCGAACTCTGACGGAGCTCCTTTGTGCCATTTTAGCCGGAGTACCTCTGTTGCTGGTGACACCGCCATATCTATAAATATATTTACGTACATTAAATCCAAAATTCAATAATACTATTAAAGCTCACCTAAATATTGATATGACTCAGATCCCTAAATTTCACAAACGCGAAAGGTCGCGTCGTTAGGTCCTGTACACATGAGGGTGGTAAACGCCGCGTTGAGCGCACGTTAGAAAAAAGTGATACCGTACACATTACAGAGCTTATCGCCGCGATTTAGCAACTTAGTCTGTTAGTTTAGCTCTCCACTTGCGATTTGTAGTCGCGCGATTGTTTAGATGCAAAGATTGAACACATTGTTTCAAATACAAATCAATCCATTTGCGACTAAACTATCACTGCGACTAAGAAAACGCAAACTGTCTTTTTTTTACCACAACGCGATAGTCGATTACCATAATGAATCATATGAACAAGCATAGATAAGCATCCACTTACTTTAGTCTCGATTCTGAATATAGCTAAGCCTGGTGTGCTTTCAAGAATATTTAATTTTAAATTTTTTTAAAACGTCGGACAACGAGGAATATATGCTGGAAATATTGGGAGCATTTTGACTACTATTGATTCTGATTTTAATTAGTATTGATTTTGAGTACTATTGTTCAAATATCATATAAAACTGTCCTTTAAAAAATCTTTGATTTGTTAACGAATAAATCCAATAACGAAATTCTCGTCGTTTAGGTCTCGCCCGAAGCCAAAGAGCGATCACACAAGTAGTTTCGATGTCATTCATTGGAAAACTGATGTAATTCAGCGATTTATAAATTGCAGTGAAGGCACTCTCTAGATTTTCTACGACAGCGATTTTTTTGTCGTTGCGACTAAAAATCGCAAGTGGAGAGCTAGCTTTAGATTTTACCTAACAATTTTCACATACCTGAACAATGAACAGTCGTGCATTAGATTCAAACTACCGTTCACCTTCATGTATCTATCACTTGCGCAGACACGGCATTATAACATATCTATAGTATTGCAGAAACCGGCAAACGATTTTGAAAAAAAAATTTTTATTGGATAATTTTTTGTTAGAGTTTATCTAACAGTGCGACTGATGGTGGGTTAATAATTTTTACAGAAATCTATAAAAATATTTAACAATATTATATAGTATTACATTCAAAAAATAGTATGGCTTGAAGTTTTGCATTGCACAGATTTCAACAAGTCAACGATCAATAAAGCTATGTGGTCATATTGTATCAAAACGCATTGAATGAATCCACCAAAATAGATTTGCAATCACCAGAATATGAGTTGAGCGACTGAGCGTACAAGAATTATAAATAATGGCAAAACAATTTGAAAATATTCTTCGCATTTGATTTCTCTTGATAATTAAACTGAATGAATATAATAACATACACGGACAGAGAGTTTACAAATAAAGACAAATTTATTAACTTTTAAAAAACCATAAAGTATACAGTATTAAAAGACATTATTTTTCGAACAGGACTAGCAAAAGTTTTGGCTGGATTGGCCAATCTGAAAATATCGTTTTTTTTTTTTAGTAAGCACAAACTTTACATCCAATGCCGATAATTGATATTTTCATTCTTAGCCAACTTTTCTTTTGCTGGTTCTGAAATACTTTAAAAAACGAAAAACATCAGCTTGCATCTAAGAATTACAACTTTGGGGAAAATTTTGATATTCTATATGCATTTTTTTTAATTATAAAGTATTTCTTAACAAAGAATGAACATAAAAATTATATAATTTTTATTTATTTTAATTTAAAACATATTAGTTTAGTATATTAGTATAAGTAAATTATATTGTACCAAATAAACTACAGAAACATCAATTTTATGTGATAAATGCAACTTTTCGTCTTACAAGTTTCTATTGTCGAATTTAACTTATTTTGAAATTATTTCCTTATAGTATTTCAGTTTTTATTAAAAAATCTAGCAACCATTTTCATAATGTAATTTTTAAAATAAAACAATATGTCTTATTGTATTGCATTGAAAATAAAATAAACTAATTTCCCTTATAATTTAGCCTTACCTGTCTCGCTTATAAAATAACTACAAACGATTCGAGGATATAATATATATAAATTAAATTTTTTTTAGAAAAAATATGAAATAGAATTCTGAGTCTTCTTCTTCGCGTGCCATATCAGAATTATCCGACGTTGGCGATCACCATTGCGAAGGCTTCTCGATCTCGATCAGAATTCTGAGTACCTATTCGAAATTAGGCCAGGATATGACGGATTTCTACTCAGAATTCTTGTCTCGGAGGAAGAGTCTCTTTTCTTTGCTGCTCTGCATTCAAATGCAAATTGCAAAATCGGTCACCTTCCGCTTAATGGTAAATGGCGCAGTCGTGGTCTCGAAAAATGTCCTTATCAATTGCGGAAATATTCCGCTCTTTCGAAAGCCATTTCGAAATGTTTGTTCAAGATGCCTCTTTTTATGATTGTTTGAGAACGTATGTTTGATATTATTGCGAATGGTTAATTGAAAAGCTAATCTTGTAACTTAAGAAGCTAGCATACTACTATACTATTT